GTCCCACTCCTTCCCCTTCCCCACCCAGCCCATAAAACACTGAATGTCAGATGATCAGCTATTGTTGAAACAAGAGTTCAATCTGAGAAGCCCAACATTTTAGGGAATAAAATGATCGGGGTCTGAGAGCTTTACAGTGTGCCACCCTAAAAAGGGTTACACGCTTCTAAAACCATTGAAGTAAATGGGCTTAGAAGGGCGTAAGTCTTTTTAGGGTAGCACTGTTAGTTATGGATACTTTTTCAGTGTACCAACACAACTTGCAATCACACAAGCAGCTGTTAGTTTTCTAAGGACTTCCACAGAATTAGCTCAGTCCAGTCAAAAGAGCAAACAGAGGGTGGGGGGGCTATAATTCATGCCTATAGCTATCCGTGATCCTTCACAAACACAGTCACTTCAGTGTGGTACAGACTTGCAATACTACAGTGCATGTGTTATTATGTGACCATATGGTGAGAAGATTTTATAGGTTTTTCCCACTTCATTGGCACCTGGTGTGCCCAATGCATTGGAAAGACCCAAACAACAGTCACATTAATTATACCCTTGCAGTGTGGGATCACAGGTGCAAAAGCATGTTCAGATGTAAAGAGGGCATAAGCACTGTACTTACCTAGTTTTGTGTTCTTGACTCAAATAGGTGAATAGTAGTACCCACAAAGGTTGTATGTGCCCTTTGAATACAGTTCCTGTAACCTCTGGGTCCTTGCAGTTATTTCCAACAATCAGTTATCTGACTAGTTACCAAGAGCTGGGTTGGGTTAATACTTCTCTTCCCCCACCCTGAAATATTATTTTTTAGTGAAACCCAGTGGTAATAATTTTTCCCCAGGGGAATAGTTTTTGCTACCTTTCCCATCCACAAATGATGAGTAACTATCAAATTGGTAGCAGTAGAACACAAATTGGTAGAATACAGGGCCTTTTCACTTGAGATGGATCAGCTAGAGCCACTCCATGTGACAACTGATATTTGGTCTGCAAACATGCAATGTAAGAGCTCAAAGCTCTTGTTTTAAAAGCCTTATCTGTTAGGTCTGTTTCTCACTTCAATTCTTAAGTGGTATGGCTACCAAGTCTGCTATAAAGGGTGAATACACATAACATTTTAGTTTGTCTCATTTTTAAATAAACTTTAAAAGTATGTTTTTAAAGGGACAAGCACCAAATTTTATGTGAATGTGATCTGCACACTTCCAGGAGGAATATATTTGTAATGTGAGAACCCTTGCTGTTCCAGTTTGACATTGTTTTCCCTCTGCCTTAACTGCTCATGCCTTCCCCAGTCAATTAATGTGGACAGAGATACACCTTGGCAATAGTGTTTTGAGAATGGAAGACCATGAGAAGCTTGGGAATTCAACACCTTATACTCAAAGTTCATTTTTTTCTTTTTAAAAATAATTATAATAGCTAATGTGCAATGCTTTCAGTCTTTTACTGTTAATGTTTTGTTTCTCTGAATGCTGACAATGAAGGGCCAAACTGGTACAATCTGCAGTGGCCAGATGTATACAAAGGCAATGCTTCTGTGCTTTTCATTGTTGCACAAAAGTGATAATTGCAGCAGGTGCAGCTTTTCTCCCATTGTGATAAAGTGCACCTCCCAAAAATTCCTTCTTGAGAGCAAGTGGTGAAATGTGCCGAAGCTCAGGCTTTCTCCTGAAGAGAGTATACCTGGTACACTAAGGAATGACCAGATGAGCAAATGTGGAGACTTGTATTAAGACAGTCTTGTTCCTGGATGCAGCAAGAAAAAAACTGGGGTGTTTTCACTTGGTCAAGCGATCCTTTGAACATCTAAACCAGCTATCTCCTTTAACAGTATTCCAAACATCTTTCCCTGCTGCACTGAGACAATCGGCTCTAATAGAGCATGAAAGGAAAAAAGGGAAAGTCACCAATTTTCCCCCTGACAATACCTATTATCACCCATTAGTCTAGACAACAAAGCTCTGCTGGTTTATCATTGATTCTAATCTATTTCACAAAGATGTTTTACCAGAAAACAGAAAGAAAAATATACCCTTAAACTTGTTTTATATCAGGGACACTGAGAAGCATCCAAACTTAAATGAGGGACCACAACAAAATTTGCTTTGCAGTGGCTAATCTGGTTTCAGTTTTGGGGTTTTTCTGTTTTTTTTGTTTTTTTTTTAAGTAGGAAGCTCTTTTTCAATGTATTTATAAGAAGTTAACCATGGCAGCAGCTCACAAACAGTAACTAGCATAACAAATTGACTGCAGCACTGGCAATATGGGAAAGTCCAATGCCTTTGAAAATGAATGCTCCAAAGTTTTTAGAAATATTAAGAGAACATCAGTGTCTCTCAATTTAACTTCTGACCAAATAGTTTAATATCCAGTTTCACAACTTAAGGTGTAAACAGGGCAATTTGGCTGTTTCCACACACTTCATCAAACAGCTGGGGTGACAGGATTTCTTTCAAGTCAGCATGGATCACAGCTTTTGCTTCTCAATTTTGCCAATGGTGGGGTGGGATAGAGGAATATGGGTGTATGAACAAGGAGGGCATTACACTCATTATCCCCAAAATAATTGCACTATGCATAGCTTTTCTTACAAATTAGTTGTGTGGGGTAGGCTTTCTGGGAAGATGTTCTCAACACCTTGCTTCAGTTTTGCAAACTCAGTATGAGGTAAAACCTACTAGAAATAATATGCACTTGAATTCATCCAAATTTGATTAAGTCCAGCTTTCAGGCAATGATATATAAACTGCTAGATTATTCAGAACATGTTTGAAATACTCCTCTCGCCTTCATGTGATGCAAATGCATTCAATCTGACTTAGGTGGTATTGTTAGGAAATCACATTATTGTCCCGTCCTTGAAATGTTCTCTTCTCCTTCTGATGATGAAATACCTTCCCTTCCATTCCACCAAGTCTTGCCCCACTGCTTAAATTCTCAAACTACCATGTTTGGTCTCCTTTGCCTCCAGGGCCATGCCGCTTGGTTGTTTGTATGTACTGTGCAGAATTTCTAAAGCCAGAGCATGAGGGGACAGCAGGAAGCTAAAGCTAGGCCTGCTGGGACAGTTTAGATGCTGTGAGACAAACCTGTTCTAAGTGTACTTGTTTGAATTAAATGTAATGTAATATATTATTTGTTGAATGTAGTAATTAGGTATTTATGAATATATTGCTGTAATTTCTGACAACATCCAAAAATAAAATGTTCCTAAATCATGACAAAAGATTATTTTCCCAGGCCCAGTGATGGATAAAGTTCCCCAGACAAAGCATAAATTTAAAACTCTGCTTAAGAGTCCTTTGTAAAACATGCATCAAACCTTGGCAGCACAATTACCATTCCTTGTACAGCCACCCTTATGCTATAACTGTTAACAGAGGATCCTATTGTAATGGCAATGCTATAAACTTGCAAAAAACCAGCAAACAGCATTTACAATGATAATTAAATATGGTGTGATTGTTGGCTATCTTAAATGCCTGTGCTGGGGGCGGGGGTATTTATTCTCAACTGATAAAAATAAGCCACATTGCCTGTTAGCTTTTAGGAATTAGTTTCATCTTCAGCAGTAGTATAGCAGAACATGAAAAATGGTGGGAGGGAGAACTGAGAGGACAGCCTTTTAAAAGCCCCAACTGTTTTATATACCATTAGCTGCACCAATGCCCTAAAGATCATAGAGACACCGAGTTCTGATACACAAGTTTACAAGTTTGTCTTCTAATGCTGGACCAATTACAAACATGCACATACTACGCAAGTCAGAAAAAAGTTTTAAAAGGTTAAAAAGGCAATGAACTGAAATTACACTGAAGCTCTGCAAACACTCAAGCAATTATTTGTAAACAAAGGTCATTAAAGGTACACACATAGGACTTTAAAAGAGGAATTCAGTGGCACCTCACAGGCTAAAAAAGTCTTATGCGTTTATGAGCCAGAACCCACAGTACCTTGAAGAACAAGTTAAGTTAATTTTGTTTTGAAATGTTTTTAATCAGAAATATTCCCTGCATAGCCAGTAGAGGTCAGGATGTCATAGCCTAAATGTCTCTGTAGTAGCATTTAAAAGGTACCCTGCTTGCTTTTTCCTTTCCTTTTATGGAATGTGTATGCCACACAGGTAGCAGCATTTACTATACTATTCATATATAGCATTTACTATATTATTCATAGCCTGAGCATCATCAGCCAGTGTATACTTATGTGATTAATATGAACATATTCTGGCTGTGGCAAGTAGCTGGTTTTGGCACATCAGCAGTACAGTTCCCACAACAGAGCTGAAAGCAGAATGGGAGCCAGACAAAGTGATATGTCTTGTCTTTGTGGCTCCCTCTCCCACAGAATACAGGCTTATTTTCACTCATCCCACATACAGCTGTGCACTTCACCAGCTGCTGTCAAGGAAACCACAGAAAATCCTTTATCTCCGAGGACAGCTGACAAATAGACTCCAGCAAGTGGTATCACAGTGGAAGCACTATGCCCTGCCATTCCTCAGGCAGGCCTTCAGGGGTGCTGTGCAGCCAGGTGTTTAAAATAGTCTCATTCTGTCATCTCTCCCAGATTCTTCAGAATATAAGGACCCACTGAGACACCGGATCCTTGTAGTAGGGAACTGATTTGTTTTCTTCATCTACTTTAGACTGATAGTAAAAAAGCAGCGTTGAAGCAAGACTGCAGCAGAAAGTTGCAGCTAATTCATCTTCTAATGACAGCCAAATGGGAGCCAAGCATACTTTCGGGTGACACCAGCTGTTTTGTCGAAGATTTTGTTGCAGCAAGGGATATGCACCACAAATGCTGAGGAGACACACCCTCTACACCACTGGCAGACTGGATCCAGCTATGAAGCTACAGCCTTGTACTTCTCCACAAGATGAGACCACTGAGGATGGAACTGCAGGAAAATCTTCTCTAACATTCCATTCCTAGTTTCAAAATACCCTTATTAGCATTATTTTAAAGAAAGGTGCCCATTTCACTGAGGATTTTAGCTGTCAAAAGTCCTGGGACTGGGCACTCTCTCCAGGCTGGAGATTTGTACGTAGCTTGTACATGTGATCTAAAGCTTGGGTAAGGAAAGCCCCAGTGGTGTTGATCTCCATCAGAGTCAGATTATCCAGCTTATAAAAGACAAGGAATAGATGTTACAACAGCATTCAGAATAATGGAATATGGTAGCATCCTCCAGCTTTCAAGCTTAAAAATTTCTAGAAAGCTGAATGGTAAGAGCGTAAAACCAGTATATCTAGAAGATCAAAAGCAATATCGGTTTTGTATATGGCAACAGGGTAGATGGTTAATATCTTTAATTTTAACCTGTATTCCCAGTCCTTAACACATGCTCCCCACATACCATAAACTACCCAGTTAACTTGATGTATTCCATTCAGGATTTCTGTCAACGGGATGGACATTTCAAATCCCTCAATACTTCACCAATAACCAGACAGCAGCCAAAGTCCAAGCTAAAACAAACAGAGCCTACTGAGTTTAAACTACTACAGACTCTCAATCATTCCAACAGGTGCAACCAGCTAGCAGTCTTAGAGCCATTTCACATATTATGAACACATGCAATATCTTATTTTCAGAAAAGATATGCATTTACTTCTTTATGCACAAAAGTAGCACAGTTCACATAGTCTTGCACTCAAGTATTTTAAGCATGCCTCACATGTTTGGGGTTCAGTGTCTATTATGTCACTTTTCCAAGACTCCCTAGTGCATGTACACGTGGCAAAATCAATATATATCTTTTCAAAACTGACATGTAGTGCGCATCAATTCACATGCAAGACTTTGCAATGCCATACCTGTAGCACATAGCCATGTCACCAAAGGGGCAATTAGACCATAAAAGAAACCACTGCAGTCTATTTTATTTGTAATTAGATTCTGCTCACCCACACAAACATGCAGTACCTGAAGTTCTCTTCTGACAACCTCATACAAACCCATAAGATTATGACAGATTCCTCTTACCCTGGCATGGGCTTCCTGCTGCCTAACAAAGCTATCTGCAGACAACCGGAGCTTTGCAATTCGAGTGTCCCAGGTATCCTTAACTAACGTTCGGATTTCATCTGCTTTTGGAATATTGTCTACAGCACTAAAGAAAAAAATAAATCATAAAGAACCAATTACTTCATTGTAAATTCAATACAGAAAATCCATGAAAAATCAATATTAAAATATAAAATTCCTGACATAAGCTACATTGGTCCTATTCTAAAGAAGCAGCAGAGGACTATTTTATTTTTAATCTCAAACTGTAGCATATACATGCATGTTCTGCCTGATAGGCAGAACATCAGCATAATGCTGAACTCTCATAATATTTACACTATTTAATTTTGCCTCAACCTAATTTTAAATTGCTGAATGCTATACGGAAGACACATACTGATATTACCACAAGAGAAGACAAGCATCATGCTAATCAGTGGAAATTTCTGTGTTAGTCCATAAATTCAAATCTGACAAGGCCACTAAATTTTCCTTTGCTGGCATTGTTAGAAACTATTCAGCCAAATACCTTCTCAAAAAAAGTGGGTTGTGGCTTCCAAAAGCTTATGCCCTAATAAATGCATTATTTTTAAAATATCACAAGACATTGTATTAGTAAGAGTATATATAATCTGCATTTGTTACAATAAGAAATCTACTAACTAGTTTAGCAGTAGCTTGGTTAATTCCATGTAGTAAGGGCTTGGCATGGGGGTGAAAGTGTCTTCTTTGCGTTCCTGGTCCCGGATTTGTTCCAGCTTTTCTAGAAGGCAATCAGAAAGTGGCACATTTTTTAAAAAGCCTAGTGCTATTTGTTAGTCAGCTCCTCCCAGCAAAAATTGTACCTACTAACACTACAGGAAAGAAAGGCCTCAAGAGTAATCAGCACTCTAAAGCAGTTCCCTCACCAGGGAAAGCCATTAATAGGTTTTGTCTGAGTTCAGCATTTTGTTAAATAATGTGATTAAGAGCAGCTAATGGGAATGAGCACTTTGAAACCCTAGTAAGAAGGAGTTGTTCTCTACTAAATTCACATAGCTTGTCACAAAAACAATATGAACTAGAAAGCTGTGTAGTTCACTATGGCTATAAGGAGCAATAACGCCTCCTCTTGTCGACTTTCAGGAGATGAAAGGATTTATTGCAAAAGGCAAATCTTGTGACTGGCTGCTAATGGATAGGTATGCTTACTTAAAGTCATGCCTGAAGAACAGCTGATTAGGAAAACCAAAACTTAACTTCTGATCCTTCAGAAATCAGTATTTGAGATCACACAAAAATAATATTTCTTGTTCCATATATTTAATGAAAGTATGACAGCTTTCTCTGAAACAGAGAGATATAATTTTGAGCTTGCAGGCATGCATGTTTGAAGAATTAGCCTACTTGGCACCTGCTTTTAAGAACTGATAGTTGCTGTGGCCAATTTACTTGTTTTAATTCCATTTTTCTTCTAATCTGCCAACACTAGTCTGGCTGTAGCATTCCATATTAACAGCCAAAGAGAATTGTTCAGAAAATCGTTCAGATTTGTATAAATCCTAACTTGCAATAATCCATTATAAGTTTTCAACATTTATTTCATTGTTTGAGTTACAGCTTACAAATTTGGTAATGATCCTAAGGGTCAACTCTGATTATTAAAGCATCTGTTGATTATTATAACAGTTAGCTCCAATTAACCTGGCAATAGTAAAAGCAACAATGGCCAAGTGCCTACAACCAAAGATCCATCAACAAATAATACCTTGGTCAAAGTAGAAAAGAGCAAGAGTCCAGTAGTACCTTAAAGACTAACAAAATATGTGGCAGGGTATAAGTTTTCGTGAGTCACTGCCCACTTCTTCAGATATTTGAAGAAGTGAGCAGTGACTCACGAAAGCTCATACCCTGCCACGTATTTTATTGGTCTTTAAGGTGCAACTGGACTCTTGCTCTTTTCTACTGCTACACAGACTAGCACGGCTACCAATCTTAGTCAAAGATTACCGTAGTTCTTACTTTGTGGATCTTAAAGGTGCCACTGGACTCAAACTTTGTTCTAGTAGGTCTTACCGACATCCATCCATTCTGGAGCTATCAGTCGACACTTCTGTCTCTGCTTTAGGTTGATAGCCAGCCACAGAGGAACTTGCACAGGCAGACCAGGATTAAAGGGACCCAAGTCACCCTAAGAAATATATACACAGTGTGAAGACAAAGGCATGGAATAAGACAGCCATTTTTTCCTCTAAACCTCACTTTTTAAAAATTAAGCTTCTTGTTTTTTTCTCTAGAACAGCAAATTTTTGGGAAATACCTTTATATTTGCTCTGTGGGTTTCTCAAATGCTGGTGAATGCAGAAATTCTGTTGGGGGGAGGGACACCAGAAGTGCATCAGAATTCTCTTGCAAGCAGAGGCCAGGAGGAAGAGGGAAGAACAGGGTGAGCTGGAAGGAGCTCTAGACAGCTCAATGGGAAATCTGAGTTTCCCTTTGCATTAGGCACAACGACCATGCAATACAGCCTATTACTCAGTGATGAAACACATGCCTTTTATATTGGTGGTGGCCCAAATAAGGAGAAGGGAAAAGCCACCAGCAACTGCATTTAGCTTTTTTTAAGTACAAAAGGATGAGAAGACGTTTAGGAGCAGGTCCCATTTTTAAAAAAATTGAGAAACCCTGCTTTAATTGGTGATGTTGGGCACAGATTTCACGCATGCAAGAGACACAGTCCACCCAGCTCCTTCTCAATTTCAGGAGGACTTTATAGAACCAAGCTATGAGAAATGTTTGTTCCAGTTAAAGGCTTCTTAGGGCACTGAAGAAAGAATGCATTTTGGAATCACAAGTAAGCAAAAACAGGAAAATCCACAGGAAGAGCTTGCCTGATTGAAAGCACAAAAAAAGAAGTCTGTACCAAGAGTGAGGAAGGATGTCAAATATGCAGTGGTAGACCTACATTTTTAGGACCCTAAAGCTTGAACTGTTATGGGGGACCCTTCTCAACCAACAACAGGGCAAAATCCAACAAGGGCCAAAGGCCCTTGAGGCCCAAATGGCAGAGAACAGGTATTACAGCATATTCTAAGGTTCATATTAAGTACTTCAACCCATTGGCTTATGATTCTGTCTCTAAAATACAAGAAGAAATTGTATTTATACCCCGCCCCTCACTATAAACTCCTCTCCCTTACCCTCCCCACAACAGACACCCTGTGAGGTAGGCGGGGCTGAGAGAGCTCTTGAGAGAACTGTCCTTGAGGGAACAGCTCTTAACAGAACTACGGGTTGCCCAAGGTCACCCAGCAGCTGCAAGTGGAGGAGTGGGAAACCAAACCCGGTTCTCCCGGATTAGAGTCCGTGCATTTAACCACTACACCAAACTGGCCAAACACTTTTAAAAACTCCCATCAATTTTGTTAAAAAATTCACTCATTTAAAAAAAAGAGAGAGAGAGAGGTGTTTCAGTGCCCCTCCAGGATTAGGGGCCCTGGAGTTTAAGCTTCCTTAGTTTCATAGCACATCTGCCTCTGCAAATAGGCAATCTGATGCTGGAGAAAAGCAAGCAACGGTGGCGGGCCTTGACTTCTTCCCCGCTCCCAGCCAGCTTCTTGCAAAGCGTCAGGCCAAGAAATGCAGGAAGGGGCCAGTGTTCCCCCCAAGGTGAGTTAGTGCGAGCAACTCACAGGTGTTTTTTAGCCCCCGGTCGCCATCTAAAGGAACCCTCACGAGATCAGAGTCTGTTTGTAAAGTAAAGGTACCCTTGCTCGAAAGCTAGTTGAGTCGGGTGCTCATGTCCGTTTCAAAGCCGAAGACCCAGCGCTGTCCGAAGACGTTTCCGTGGTTATGTGGCCGGCATGGCTAAACACTGAGGCGCACGGAACGCTGTTCCCTTCCCACCGAAGTGGTACATATTGATCTACTTGCAATTTCTTGCTTTTGAGTCCGACTCTAGGGTTTATTTATTTATTATTCACATTTCTATCCCGCCCTCCCCGGAGGCTCAGGGCAGCTTACAGGGCATATCGCCAGATAAAACTATAAAACAATACAGAATATTAAGAATATTAAGACAGAATATTAAGAACCCTATTTAAAACAGATTTTGATGCTCCTCTCAGCAGAGTATCCAATCTCTACAAGTTCTACAATTTGCGGGTTGCGTTGCTCATCTCCCTCTCAAAGCCGAAGAGCCAGCGCTGTCCGAAGACGTTTCCGTGGTCATGTGGCCGGCATGACTAAACACCGAGGCGCATGGAACGCTGTTACCTTCCCACCGAAGTGGTCCCTATTTATCCACTTGCAATTTCTTGCTTTCGAACTGCTAGGTTGGCAGGAGCTGGAACTAGAGATGGGAGTTCACTCCGTCACGCGGCACACTCGGGTCTCAAACTGCTGAACGACCGACCTTCCACAGCCTGCAGTTCAGCGTCTCCCGCAGCTCCTTAAGAGTCTGTTTGACCACTCCCTAAATAAGGGCCAAGAAGCAAGACCTTACGCCCCTGCCCGACGCATCTCTGCGCCGTGTTCCCTCTAAGGCGAGTGAGTGTGAGCCGGCTCACAGTTCTTTTAGCCTCCGGCTCACGCATTTTTGTCTCCGCTCAGGAAGGATGGGCCCCCCAGAGCTAACTCATTTAGGTAGTTTTTTTTTTTCCCATTAACATTTTATTGGTAGAATTAAAAGGTTTTGAGAAGTCATAACTACCAATTACATATAACAATAAAAATGTACATAAAGGTCATAAGAAAAGTTAAACGTTCAAACCAATACACTAATTACACCAAAAAAAAAAAGTAAGCTTTAAAGAATGATCCATTCCAGTCGCTCCCACAAAGCAGATTTTTTGCTCACAGGACTCCTTCAGCTTAGAGGGGGCATTGGAAGGGGCTCTCGGGGTGTGGAGGGCACCAGGCCCGGGGCGTGCGCCCCCCCCGGCTCCCTCACACTATCGCGGTTCCTATCCGGCCACAAACACACCCCATCATCAGTTCTTCACTCCTTTCCACCGTCCTATTTCTTCCCCACCATTCGCCCCGAGACAAGAGGCCGCCCTTCGTCCGCAGCCCCCGGACCCACAACCCCCGCGGCCTCCCTCCTCCACCCGCCAACCCACCCCGATGAGGTAAATGCGGTCCAAGCTGAAGTTGGGGATGACGGTGACCAGCTCCTGCTCGGCCAAGAACTCCACTTCGGCAGGGTCCATCGTCGGCCGCGCGCGCGGAGACCTCAGGCACGCCCCTCTTCGCCGCCACTTCCACCGAGCTGAGGGGGGAACGAAGGCGGGCAAGTTCCCACCGCAGCAATTCCCCGCCAGCCCGCGCTCTCTCGCTCAAGGCCAATCCTGAGGTAAAGGCGGCTGCCATTGGTTGGCGGGCGAGACAAGACCCGCCCCCGAGCTCCGCGCCTTTCGGAATTGTCCCGGCTTTTTCCCGCGCGCTTTGACGGACACTCGCCGCTTCCTGAGGTAACTATGCCGCTTATTGGTTGAAAAGGGGAAACGAGCTCCGCCCGCAGGACTCAGTCGCTTCCCGGAGACTCGTTCACGCCCCCTCCTGAGGTGACTGCGGCTCCCATTGGTTGGGAGACAAAACATACTACGCCCACCGCGCGCGCTCCGCTTGAAAGGCCCGATTTTCTAAGAATAGGTGGCTGTTGATTGGACGGGGGGAGGGGAATTAATTTTTCTTGTCCCTGATTGGCCCCCTCGACAGACATTTGTGCGGTGTGATTGGTGTACAGATGGACGACCGATGGAAAAAGGGCGGGAAATAAAGGCCAATGGGGCCAGTATGGTTTAGGGGTAAAGATAAAGGTTCCCTTGCTCGAAAGCCAGTCGAATCCGACTCTAGGGTTGCGGTGCTCGTCTCCGTTTCAAAGCCGAAGAGCCAGCGCTTTCCGAAGACATTTCCGTGGTCATGTGGCCGGCATGACTAAACACCAAGGCACACGGAACGCTGTTACCTTTCCCACTATTTATCTACTTGCAATTTCTTGCTTTCGAACTGCTAGGTTGGCAGGAGCTGGAACTAGAGATGGGAGCTCACTCCGTCATGCGGCACACTCGGGTCTCGAACTGGTTAAGTGCGCGGACTCTAATCTGGGAGAACCGGGTTTGATTCCCCACTCCTCCACTTGCACCCGGCTGGATGACCTTGGGCAAGCCATAGTTCTGATAAGAGCTGTTCTTGAAAAAGAGCAGTCTCTGTCAGAGCTCTCTCAGCCCCACCTGCCTCACAGGGTGTCTGTTGTGGGGAGGGGGAGGAGTTTGTAAACTGCTCTGAGACTCCTTTGGGTAGTGAAAGGTGGGGTATAAATCCAATCTCTTCTTCTTCTTTTGTGTTTGAAAATAGACTCATATTATTATGGGTACAGAACAGAGCTTGGCACTTCTGCGCCTTAAAAAAATGCAAAAATAAAACCACAAACACACCCACACGCAACAAAAATACTGTATGTTGTATCCATAGAAGGAGAAGTACTAAAGATAACACTATAAATTTCAAACAGTCTGTTGCAGCACAAACAGAAATTAGTCTCTTGTAGAAACTAAGAAGATGAACAGATCGATTGTTGCAGAAGCATTCACGGATTCTTCCCTCAGAAAACAGGAAGGGGGGTGTGTCTAAAAGTCCTGCACTACCACACAGTTTGGTTTTGGCCTTAATGATGAAATGGCTCTAACTCCCTAGACAGCCTTCTACCACAATATGTTTGTTAATCTTTAAAGTGCCACAAGACTAAGATTCTATTCTTATTTTACTTTAAATAACATTCCCTTCTGGTTGATAGTTACACCTAGGCTGACAAGTCTGCAGTTATTTTGGAATATATTATAGGCTATAATAATTTATAGCTCTGTGCACATGGTGTGCTGTGTGTAGATGCAAAGTGCACAACCCACGGAAAGGACTCACATGTAGGATTGCCACCCTCCAGGTGGGTCCTGGAGATCTCCTGGAATTACAACTGATCTGCAGACTAAAGAGATCAGCTCCCCTGGAGAAAATGGCTGCTGTGGAGGGTGGACTCTGTGGCATTATAACAAGCTGAGATTCCTCCCCTCCCCAAGCTCCACCAGAAAAATCTCCAGGAATATCCCAGCCTGGAGTTGGCAACCCTGCAGCTAATGTGAGCTGTGTTTCTAAGCATTCGAACGACATGTACACGGCCTCCATATATTCTCAGTAGGGTAGGATACCAGCCTCCAGGTGGGACCTGGAGATTCCCCGGAATTACAGCTCCAGTCTAGAGACCCGGTCACCTGAAGAAAATGGATGCCTTGGACAGTGGACACTATAGCATTGTACCCATGGTTCCCAACTGCCAGGTCAGGGAAGATCTTGTCTCACTAACCTGTCAGTGTTCTTTGAGGGGGTGAACAAACATGTGGACAAGGGGGATCCAATAGATATTGTTTACCTTGACTTCCAGAAAGCTTTTGATAAAGTTCGTCATCAAAGGCTCCCAAGTAAGCTCAAAAATCATGGGATAAAAGGACAAGTCCTTTTATGGATCAAAAACTGGCTAATTAATAGAAAACAGAGAGTGAGTATAAATGGGCAATTTTCTCAGTGGAGGGTGGTAAGCAGTGGGCTACCGCAGGAATCAGTATTTGATCCACTGCTTTTTAACTTGTTCATTAATGATTTGGAGTTGGGAGTAAGCAGTGAAGTGGCTAAATTTGCGGATGATACGAAGTTGTTCAGTGTGGTGAAAACCATGGAGGATTGTGAGGCACTCCAAAGGGATCTGTGCAAGGTGATGCACATTGGAGTCAAAAATCCTAAATATATATACACATTGATGGAGTCTGAACTGGCAGAGACTGATCACGAGAGAGATCTTGGAGTTGTAGTAGATAACTCACTGAAAATGTCGAGACAGTGTGTGACTGCAATAAAGAAGGCCAATGCAATGCTGGGGATTATTAGGAAGGGTATTGAAAACAGATCAGCCAATATCATAATGCCCCTATATAAATCAATGGTGCGACCTCATTTGGAATACTGTGTGCAGTTCTGGTCACCACAACTTAAAAAGGATATTATAGCTTTGGAAAAAGGGCAGAAAATGGCAACTCGAATGATAAAAGGGTTGAAACACTTTCCCTATGAGGAAAGGTTAAGGCGCTTAGGGCTCTTTAGCTTGGAGAAACGACGGCTGAGGGGTGACATGATCGAGATTTATAAGATTATGCATGGGATAGAGCAGGTAGCGAAAGA